TCGAAATCTCTGGAAATTTGGCCATCAATGATGAAAATTACGTGGGTGATGGCATGTTTAACTATTTTCATTCAATGCAATAATATGCAAATAACGACATACATATATACATGCAATTATAACAGTAGAACAATTGGGATACAGCTAAACATAAATGAGACAAGAACATGAGCAATTTGATAATTTACGTGCTTTGAAATAAACAAATCTATCTAGCTAATAAAATAATGTTAGAATGTTGCATTTATTTCTTTCATGTTTGAACATTTATATGCCATTAATTTATTTAATTGACTATATATTTGATTAGGTGAAGTTACTTTACCGACATAAAATTGTAACGTAAGGGAAAAACATAAATACTTGCTTGCTTTCAGACACAGTCCATAAAACTAGTGAATAAGTCAATAATTCTTTTCGTTTCAAATTAATTAAGATGGTGGTTGTCACTAAAATCTCAAAGTTATAAAGCATGGCTGTCCAATTTATTTTAAATTCTTTTTTCAATTTAGATAAGCGCGTTCATATATATATAACTCATTGGCGTCGACATTTGGTATTTCAAATTATCGGAAAGAGAGTGCAGAGATAATAGAAAATAGACATGAGAAGTGGTAGAGCGAGTTCTAGGATTAATTTTCAAGCAATTTTAAGAGAGCCAATTTGTTTAACAATAGATAATTTATTCATGAGATTAATTTTCTTTTGTACTGGTGATTTATTTATTGTAAGCCCGCTAATAAGTGTAATTTGTACACTTATAGGCTCATGTACAAAGTCTTCCTTGACCATATGCATGCATGGACACCAATGCATCAACCGTTGACCAAAAATTTGATATCACTTGGTGGGAATGTGATTCACTGTCCGGTCATGAATACTATTACTCTAGAGAAATATTACAAAAATAAAGAATTAGATATAGGAATAATTTTTAATTGATTAAAAAAAATGTACCATAAAAAAGCATAAATCTATTCAGTATGTAAAAAAAGTTGTAATCACACAGTATCCCTCCTCGAGTCCAAACTCCATAGTGAACCAACAAACACTCTCAAACAAGACTTATAAAACAAAATAGAAAGAAGAATAATTATTTGTCCCATTTCTCTTTTCATTTTCGTGACACTTTCATGTTAGGTGCACCACGCAATCTTTTATATCTAACTTACATTTCCCTTTAATCTAAAGTTTAACAAATACCTTTCATTGGTGGTGACGAGGAAGACTAGTCTACTGTGATTGATTTTGTGTTACTGAACGAAAGGATTGATTATCGACTATTTATGATCAAATAAATGATCACTATGCTGAGTTGTAATGCATATATGAGCGATACTAAAATATGTACCATGCAAATATCTGACTTCTTGTAGATATGGAATTATGAGAAAAGCATTATGTGCAAGCCATTTGTGTATTAGCTACAGTTCGACTATCTTTTCATTTTCGCGAAAAATTATGCATTGAGAGCCATCCCTGTATAAGATACTTCAGAAAATGCATATTGGCAATGAGATTCTGAGGATAGGATGAATAATTATAAGTAAAAGACATGAAGGTTCACCTTGTGCTATACCTGTTAAAATTTGGGGTTCCATATTAAAAGGTCAACCTTATTAAGAGGAGTAACTCAAACTCTTATAAATTGGTATATATTTTCATCTTTATTCGATGTGAGATTTTATCCCTTAATATGCTCTTACAAGATGGCGACTCGTTTTGAACAAATCAATTTTGAAATCTGCGTGCTCAATTTTTTTTGAGTCTTAATCGGATCGAATTGCTCGTTGAAGCTTAAGAGGAGTAGCTCAAACTCTTATAAATTGGTCTATATTTTCATCTTTATTATACCTACCTAGCTGATTGATGCAAAGTGAAACAGATTGGATAATAATGTATGTAAGAAATAATTCTTCTATGTAGACATCAAATAAGATGTTCTTATGGGGACAAACATTAATTAGCGGAGGGTTAGTCGCTAGAAAATCATTTACTAATTAATGTAAACAAGGTTTTTTCTTCTCTTACAGCTTCAATAGTCACAATAATTTAAGGCAACTAGATATATGTGTAGGGATGACAAAAAAGCTCGGCGGCTCGGGCTCGGCTCGGAAAAAGCCCGAGCCGGGCCCGGCTAGGGCTCGATGGAACCGAGCCAAGGCTCAGGCTGAGCCTCATATTGAGG